CTGGACTGTGGGACATAAAGTGATAGTCGTGAGGAGTGTGCCTCTTAGCTCAAGTAGATACGAGAGAATAAATGGGCAGCTTCTGTCCGGAGGGGGGAATGGGAAGGCAGAGAGGGTTAGGAGCTTGTTGAAGGTTGAATGGACATGGGGAATCAGGGGTGGAAAGGAGTGAGCTGTCACAATATGAGGAGAGCAATTAGAGTCACATAACAATGTATGTATAAATTTTTGTATGGGAAAAATAAATAAATAAAAAAAAATAACACTGATGCAATTCTGCCACTAGGAAGCTGGAGTAGATGTACTTTTCCCTCTTCCTCTTGCTAAGTACCATTAAAAATCCAGGACATGTATGAGACAAACGTAAGAAGATCCTGAAATATGGAGAGTAAGCACACCTGCTAGGAACCTCGGGGCCCATGGAAAGACATGGTGGTGAGTTCCCTGGACTTTCTTTTTCCTCCTGTATCCCAGACTTGGAGCTGAAGCAGCCAGCAACTCAGAAACACCAATTAGCAGAGACAAAAGAGCCCCAACGAAAGGTTGCTCTTTCTAGCCAAACAACCGAAAAAGGGGCAGCCTGGTAAGACAAAAACTTTTAGACAATAAACAATCTATTTCAGCCAAATACCACAAAAAAAAAATCACGGCCTCACCCTGAGCCCCACCAGCAAAGGCTGAATGGGGAGCCTAGACTGAACCACACGAAGCCGTAGTAAAGGGCTCTGACGAGGCACCACATAGAAAGCCAGGACTTTCATCCCCGCCAGCCAGTAATAAGACCCTATCTGAAGCCTTGAAGTGTCGGTGGAGGCCACATGGAGAGCCTGACTCCCATACATGCCCAGCAGTAACACACTGCACGTCCCCTGCCTGGGCTGAGTGGAGAGTCAAGACTTTCACCATGGCTCAGCAGCAACGATACCACCCCCACTGTGGTGTCAGTGGAGACACGCGGGGAACCGAAACTCCTGCCCCTCCCAACAGTAACCAGGAACCACCCCCTCAGGTGTCAATGGAGGCTGATTGGAAACCTGGGCTTCTGTCTCTACCTGGCATTAAAAAGGTGGTGCCCCTCCTTCCTTTACCAGAGCAGTGTCAAAGAAAGCCAGTTAAAATCTTAAATAAGATCCAGAGTCTCATAATGCAATATGAAAATGTCTACATTTTAATAAAAAATCATGGACCCAGAAAGATCTCAAACTGAACGAAAAAAAGGCAATCAATAGAGGCCAATGCTCAGATGACAGAGACGTCACAATTATATGACAAAGATTTTAAAGCAGCATCATAAAAATGCTTCAATGAGCAATTACAGCATGTTTGACACAAATGAAAAATCAGCCTCAATAAAGAAAGAAGAACCAAATGGAAATTTTAGAACAGAAAAGTACAACCGTACTGTTATTTGTGCTGTCCATGAATATTCAGTGCAGCTTTATTCATAATAGCCCCAAACTGCAAACAACCTGAGTGTCCTTCAACAGGCGAATGGTTCAACAAACTGTACTATGGAATACTACTCAGCAATGCAAAGGAACAAACTACTGGTATACCCAACAACCTGGAAGAACCTCCAGAGTAATTGTGCTGAGTGAAAAAAGGTCAATCCCCAAAGGTTACATATTGTACAATTCCATTTAAATAACATTCTTGAAATAACAGAATTATAGAAATGGAGAACAGATAAGTGATTGCCAGAAATGGAGAACAGGTTGACACATTTGACTATATAAGGGCCACATGAAGTGGTCGTGCGGTGATGGAATGTCCTGGATCTTGACTGTATCCATGCCAATATCCTGGTAGTGATACTGTACTAGAGTTTGTAGGATGCTACCTTTGGGGAAACGAGGTAAAGGTTACACAGGATCTCTGTGCAGTATCTCTTACCACTGCATGTGAATTTACGATTGTCTGAAAATAAAAAGATTAATTTAAAAACATGTTGACACCTGGACCTCACCCCAGACTAATAAATCAGCATCCTGGGGCAGGTGAGGGGGGCTGGGCAGGCAGAGATACTTTTAAGACTCTCCAGGTGATTCGAAAGTTGATCCAAGGCTGGGAACTGCTGGTCTAACATCCTCAGCTGTGTGGTGCCAGCATCACTGTGGGACTGTAAGACCCATGTCCCTGGGGGTGCAAGCGGGTGGCTGAATGGACACGGCTGCAGACTCTCCACCCTCCCCATCTCACTGAAGGAGCTCTGCTTCCCGTGGGATTCCTACAATTAATGTGAAAAGCACCATCCCAGGTGTATAGGCTCTTCAAGCCAAGACATCCCTGGGAACAGAGAAGGGTTTTCTGAGTGACAGAATGCATACCCCAGGCCATTCTCTACTGGGCAGCTGACAACTAGGTGTATCTCTGGAGAGAAGTCACATCTCCACAGGTAGTCACGAGGAGTTCTGGGGCCCCTGAAACTCAGTAGTTATAGTCGGTTTTGGCTCATGGAGCACCCAGACAGCAAGACTGCCCTGGGGCCCCGTGTGCTGGCACTCAGCTCACTCAGTGACATGGCTTCACTCCTGCTGCCCAGTCCAAACAGGGGAGAGTCCCCAGGAGGAGTGCCAGGGAGACCAGCCCAGCTCAGCCTGGAGAGGAAAGTCCTCCAGGCTCGGTGATGAGTGTGACGCTTTCTGCAAACAAACCCTCAGCTCAGCAGTGGGCGCCGGTGCAGGGAGGACCAGCAGGGACATGGCCTGGAGGAGCTGGGGCCAGGCTGCCCCCCTCCAAGGCCACCACACCCATCCTACTCCCATGGTGCCTCCCTGGCTGCTCTGACCCTGACCTGACCACAGCCCCACTGTGCTTACATCTGCACACAGGGTCGGCAGGGATTCCTGCCCACCGACTCTGGTGAGATCCAACCCCGGCACAACCAGAGGGGGAGCACTGGGAGGAGGCATCGAGAAAGGAACGGAAATCCTCACAGCTGGCCACCTACTAGGTGCCAGGCGCTTACGTCCATCTTCTCACTCGATTTTCACGGTGTGACAGATGGCGGCAAGCAGCAGCATTTGTTTTTTCAGAGGAAGAAACGGAGGCTCAGCGCAGTTAAGTGATTTAAGGTCACACAGCTAGCAAGGCGCAGGCAGCAATTTCAGTGCTTGGTCTGTTAGGCTTCTTCCCCCTCTGCCACACCTAATGCGGTTTTGCCTGGAGAGGACGATTTGGCCTGCCTCTGTGTTAGTACCTGCACTACGGTTGCCATTGCTATCACTGACTGTGGGCATAGAAGTGTTGGGTGTTCTGCTGAGCAACTTACAGACATCTGACTTGGTTCTTTACTGGTCCTGTGAGGTAGGTTTCCACATCCCCATTTCATAGACAACTGAGGCAGAACTGGAGAATACGTGACGGTCACACAAGTGGTAGGGGCGATCAGGAATTCAAATCCTGGTTAGTCTGACTCTGAGGTCCACGTTCTACTTTTTGTTTGTTTGTTTTTCACCGTCTGCCCTTTCTTGGACCATCATTATGGATAAGGAACTGCACAGTGGAGGAGAAGCCTCTCTCACCCACAACTGTCAAGGTCTTTGAGCTCTCAGGGTGAATTATGTAGCCCAGCTCATCCCGGAGCTTGAAGATCTTGATAATGCATTTCTTTCCAAACCATCTGAACAGGGCAGGAAGCACTGTGGTTCCATACTGTGCCATTTCCAAGCGAGAGATCCTTTGGGACTGTGCTGTTGAAGTCTGGACAGAACATGAATTCTGTCCCCGGGGGAGGCCTGGCCATGGCTGTTCCCAGCTGCACTCCTGCTGGCTCCACCCTGCACCCGTGGCTGGAGGGAGTCTGAGGTCTGACCGGGCCTGTCTCTGACCCCTTATTTCTCTCCCAGTTCTACTAGTAGGCAGCTTTGCTTTGTCACCACACAACTCATCCACTTTTTAAAAAAAATCAGACATAAAAAGAATGATTATTTTTAAAAATGGGGACTTTATTTTCAGAGAATTCTGTTTTTTGTTTCACGCTTTCTGAAAGGTTCTGTAATCTTAGAAGACTTTTCTCACTGGCACCAGAGTGACGTCTAAAGCAGCGCCGGCTCTACTGCCCGCGGCGGACGGCACTGAGCGAGCCCACAGGAGCGTGTGGGGCACGAGTCCAGTGAACGGCGTGTCAGTTACACTGAACAGCTGCAGCCTGACCAGCCTTGCGGGGGCTTCTCTGCGCCTCTGACCACTTATAAAATTACCCATGCTGTGGCTGGCTCAGCATGTAGTGCACAGTTTTCATTTACTTTTAGGCTGGAAAACACAGATGAAGTGGCTAGAACCACGGAAGGCATTTACAAACAAAAGCAAGACACTTGCAGAGATGCTCCACTGGCCAGTTGCCTTCCGTAGAGGGACAAAATGCTTGCTGTCTGAAGGTTTTTGTGTTTTTAATCTTCTGGGTGAATCAGAAGGAAACTTAGAGACTAGATGTGAAAGAAATTTAAAGTGTGGGCTATGGTTTCAGGTGGAAATTTTGACTTTTTCTAGTCCTCTTGCCTCTTGACTGTGTATTCTAAAAGTGCGGTCATCAGGAAACAAGGCTTCGCTTTGTCTGCTTAGGATGGTGTCTTTGGGAGGGAGGCAAGAGGGTCTACAAGGCCATTACATATTATAAACTGCTAGAGGGAAGGGGGCGGGACTACTACTTATTTGGTAATTTACTGGTTGACAACTATTTTCCAAGATGATAGTGCCAGCGTAGAGCTGGGAATCTGCGAGGGCAGTCCAGGTACACACGGCTCCTCTCACATCTCATTCTCCAGGGTACCTGGGAGTTCTGACTCCATGAGTCACTCCAGTTAAGCCCTACATTGGGGTAGTACTTTGTCTATTGAGCCTATGCTGGGGAAATGTGTTACAACAGCCTGGAGCTTCATTCAGTTTTTCTCCACACCTGGAACTATGGCAACCAGCCATTGCTGATGAGGAACCTGACAAGTCTGTGGGCGACTTGACTTAGTTCCCTTCACAGAAACATCAGGATCCTTCTCTCCTTTCACCGTGGACAGCCAGGTGAACGTTCTTGAGAATATTCCTGCCCATAACTTAAAATTGAGTAATAACTTAAGTGTCTCCCTTGATGGTTCGTTCATGCTTACCTTCTACTACTCCACACACATTGGCATACACATCCAATATCTTTTTCCTTCGACTTTGAATCTATGAAAAAATGTTAGAAGAATGTTAATCTTCAGAAAGGGAAAAAATTGGTAACAAACAAACAACCAAATAGCCCATCTCAGTATTGGCAAATAGGTGCTTTTCCCTGATGCCTAGGAAATGCTGAACCAGAAATATACCAAGTCCTGGTATGGAAACCTCATGCATAATTCAGAGGGAGAAAGACTTTTCTTTAGATTATCTAATAAAAACACCTTCAACATCCACCAGGGGGTCTCCTTAGGCTCAACCAGACATTCAGACTCCAGACAACGAGAGACCACACGGGGCATCTGTCCATTTAGAAGGGTGTCTGCTGGGAGCTCAGCTTGCCAGCAGGGCAGCACAGAATCCTCGCAGCAGCTCACACTGTAGCCCAGATAGCTGTGCAGGAGCTTCTCCCCAGTGATACAGATCAGCGCAAGGAGGTGAGGCCATCATGGACAGGCACAGAAGTGGCCCTGGCTTAAAAGTCCCATGCACCACAGGAGCCAATATGTCTCCTAACAACTGCCCAGACCTCCGAGGTCCCTACAACTGACAGCACAGTTACAGTCACTGTTCTCAGGGATGTCCAAAGTACTGGCATCCTCAACAGGATTCCAGGCTAGATCTAGCCTACCAATCAGGAGTCATTTTTACCATGAGCAAGGTTGCCTAGCAACATAGTTGACAAGCCAACTTTTATTAGGTTACCAGAGCAACCGAGTGACGAAGTTAACCAAATGTAGCCTGGAAAAGGGCTTTGTTAACCTTTTGTCCATAGCACCATGCAACAACATTTCAAGACTGCCTACCTTAGGTAATAAAACAATGTGGACAATTTTTATATGTGATCCTATTTTTGTATTAAAAACCCACGAAGAGAGAGAGCCCGAGAGAGCTCAGGCTGCTAACCAAAAGATTGGGAGTTCGACTCTACCAGCCGCTCCTTGGAAACCCTGTAGGGAAGTTCTACTCTGTCCTATAGGGTAGCTATAAGTCAGAATCAACTCAACAGCAATAGGAATATGTGTGTGTGTGTGTGTGTGTGTGTAGAAAATTGTCTGGTTGGATATATGCTAGTATATTTACAAAGGTTCTTTCTGTCCTGTGGTATTCCAAATGATTTTAATTTTCTTCTCTTTGTTTACTATTATTTCTCATTTTCTCCAGTAAAGCTATATAATAAGAAAATAATTTTTTTTCCAATATATCTTAAAATATCTTGTTTTAAATCTGTCACTCTATGAAGGTTTCATATCACAGACTTGCTGGAGAAAAAACTTGTCTCACAGAAGAGCTTATTAAATAAGAAATGTCTCGTCTTTTGGCCATAAATCAGGCAAATCTCTCCTGCAGATGCAGTGCATTATTTTACTGCACCAATAAATCGTGAGTATTCGTAGCAGAATGGCGTGTGCGTGCCAGAGCCTCACCCCGGTTGATTTCTTGTTGGTGGGAGACTTCTCTCTCGTCAAGTGAACTAAGGATAACAGGCACAGCTCTGGGGAGGCCTGCTTGTCAATGGCGGGCTCCTCATCACTGTCCATGCTCCGGCTCAGCAGCTGCTCGTTCTCCGACGATGCGTCGTTTTCACTGGAGAAACAACAGCGACAACCTTAGTGGTGTCTGGGAAGGGAAGCCCTGTAACATTCTCTCCACTATTACCTTTACAGCCAAGGTGTGGCTAACAGGGACACGACAATCAACTTGTTCATCAACCTTTTACTGGTTGATTTGCTGGTCATTGGCTGGTGCTGGGGACACAAGATGAGAAAGATGCACGCCTGTTCTTTGCTCTCTTCCAAACCAGCAGCTGCAATACAGGGTGACGCCTACGTGCTCTGTAGTGAAAGGAATCGCAAAGGTTGCAATAGGGGGTTAGGGGAGAAGGTGAGCAGTTTTTCAGGGGCTTGGGGCTGCCCACAGGGGTGGGGACTGCATCTTGTCATTTTTCCATCCCTCCTGCAAAGCCTAACACAGGGTAGATGTCCAGTAAATGTTTCTGGAATATGCGATAGATTTCCGTATTTAATCCAAATAAGCACCACGTTCTACTTTGTGTCTTCGTGTTTATGTGGATGACACTGAATCCATGCAAGCTCTTAGAAATAATGGAAAACAAAGCTGAGCGGAACTGGGGAGCCAGCGCGTGCAGAGCTATGAGTGTGGGAAGCCTTCTTTCTTGGCTAGTGGGGGTGAACTGGCTGAAATGTGTGCATCACAGGAATGGGGCTGAAGGCCCAGGGCTTCAGGGAATTCCACCGAAGGTGCGATGGGCAGTCCAATATGCCGAAACTCTGGGCTCACTTCAGACCAGGGCTGACCGCCAGGGACCACACTAGTTAGCAAGACAGGGTGTCCAGCCGTAAGCACGTGTGAGTTGGACCTTAAACTCTCAAGACAAAAAAAAAGGTTAAGAAAAGGCTTTCCACAGCTCATTAACATCATTCCAAATATATGAAAAATAATATTCTTTTCATAAGCATCCTGCTTGCTTCCTGTGGTTTGGCTAAAGACTCTTTTTTAAAGGATTATATTTGCTAGCACCTGGGTTATAGTAATAAGGCCTGTACTCAAATACAACTCTACAGGCAGGATGATAAAAAGAAAAGAGGAACAATGGATGATGCCCCACTGGCGAAACCCACTTCCTGATGTGATTGCAGAGCCTCGTAGGGAGTCAGCTTGCCTGTCCACTGTCTGCACACGGAAGAGACAAGTAATGAAGCCACCACGGCACACAGGCGGCCGTCTCCCATCCCCAGCTCCTTTCTTCCAAGATCCAGGAGCAAGCGTTAGGGGATGAATCTCAGTGCCTTGTTGTTTTGTAAAGTGCAATTTTCAAGTTTTAATTTTTGCTTAGAAGTTGTGTATTAAATAAGTGGTTTTTTTTCCAATTAGGGTCCCCCGATCTTTCCTCAAGGAGCCCCAGTGGTGCAATGGTTAAGCACTCAGCTGCTAACTGAAAGGTCAGCAGTTGGAACCCACCATCCTCTCTGTGGTAGAAAAGAGCTGATGGGTCTGCTTCCTTAAAAGAATTACAGCCTAGGAAACCCTATATGGCAGTTCTACTCTGTCACGTGGGGTCGCTATGAGTTGGAATTGACTCAACGGCACCCAACATCAACAACGAAAATTTTCCTCAGTCATTAGGTGAAACTCAATCCACAGGATGTGCCCCTGCCTTTCTGACTGCTTTTTCTCCCCTACTTTTGGGAATGACAGGCCAGAAGAAGAGGGGGCAGGGGGCTGAAACAAAATGGGATTATGGACGGGCTGGAAGCTGGAGGGCCAATTCCATTTCCAACGAGGCAGCAGTTAAGAGACAGATCCACGCATTGCAGTGCCAGGGCCTGGACTCAGCCCTGGGAATAGCAGCTCGAACCTTGGCACACACTCACCAGAGTTGCCTGGATGGCAAATTCCCGGAGGTTTTGGGAAATGCCTTGGAATGCCTTTTAAATAACCTCTCTCTCAGGAGCTGACCGATTTAACACACACAGTCTGCTATTTCATTCCTAGTATGCAAAGGTTTCATGATGTAAGTCTATTTTCTTCTGTTAGGTCTCTTTCGAGATGCTGGAGTTTTCAAATGCGATCATGTGATTGGACATGCTTTATAGATGCCCGAGTCTGGAGTTTTTATTATTCCTAAATATGAAAGGCTTTGCAGAAGTTCTACGCACAGTGTAGCAGCAGGATCATGCGGCCAGGGGTCAGGAGAGGAGGGTTTTCATCTTTACTCTTCCTGTAAACATTTAGTGGCCCTGGGCGTGTCATGTAACCTCTCAGGGCCTCATCTGTAGAGTGAGCCACGTGGGTGGATGGTGTGCTTACACCGCCAGTCTGGAATGGTCAGCGGAGCGGAGAACTGGCAGGGAGGGCTGCACACACTTCCTTGCTTGGAACAGATACCAGGGTTTGGTGTTTGGAACTTACCCACTACCTACTGCCATCGAGTCCATTACGACTCAGAGTGACCCCGTAGGGTTTCCAAGGCTGGAAATCTCTATGGAAGCAGACTGCCACATCTTTCTCCCTCAAAGCCACTGTTGGTTTCGAACTGCTGATCACTAAACACTGTGCCAACAGGACTCCCTGGCAAGGTCAAGTACAAATGAACATCGAAGCGGGAGAATAAAATGTTAATTCCCTCCACTCCAGATTTATGTGGGTGTGATTCACCCTTGTCTCCCTCAAATTTTATATGTGAAACTTCTTTCTTAAGAGGCTTTATTATACCTAGTGTTAGTCGTTCATCAGGAGCCTGTGGAATGCAGCTCTGGAGACAGACTACCTGGATTTGGACCCCAGCCTGTCACTCACCAGCTGTGTGACTTTAGGCAAGTGACTTCGCTTCTAAGCCTCGGTTTCCTCATCTATGAATGGGAATAATAATAGCACCTGACTCACGGGGCTGCGTGAGACAATCCATTTACACATTTTTTAGCACAGCACCGGGCACATGATAAACATCTAGTATGTGTTAGGTGCAGCGGTTAAGAGCTTGACTGCTAACCAAAAGGTCGGCAGTTCAAATCCACCAGCTGCTCCTTGGAAACCCTATGGGGCAGTTCTACTCTGTCCTATAGGGTCTCTGTGAGTTGGAATCGACTCGACGGCAATGGATTTGATTTTGATTTTTTTTTACGTGTTAGGCATCCTCCTCTTCATTATTACCATTGTTACAGTAACATCACTGTTAGCATTAGTGCTGGTAGAGCAGTATTGAGGGTTAACAGCAGCAGCAGCAGCATTAACCCAGGCTGCATATGTCCTTGACTTTCTTTCTCAACCTGGAGAAGAACAGGACACATGGAAACCCTTGGGTTCTGCACATGGAAGGAAGATGTTGAGAAGAAGGGCTGAGGGCATATGGCACCAGCAAAAAGGAGTTGGGGCTGTGGCCGGGAGCAGTAGGCAGATGTTAGCCACCTGCTCCTAACACCAGCCTGGCCCGTGCTGGTTGATGGATGAGGTGAAAACCAGCATTGACCAGGCCCAGATGGATCAGCCGTCAGCGAATAGCCCTCCAACCTCTACTGTGGCCCTGCTCACCGTGTCCTTCTTTAGCACAATCCCAGCAAGCCAATCGCTATACTGCTCAATAAGCTGGCACACCCACCCACGGCCCCTTCATGCCCAGGACTGCTGCTGGCTTGACCTTACCTCTTGGTAGTCTTTGCTGGAGTTGCTGCCAGCTTCTCGAACTCATCCTTCTCAGAGAAAATCACTACATTGTCTGTAGGTAAATGGGAAGATTTGGGGGAAGAGAATGTGTTACAATTGGTTCTGTGTCTCTGAGCTTGATCTCCACCCCGGCTTAGTTCCTCTTTCACTTTTGACTGATGACTAAATCCCCTTAAATGATACCACTCTTTTAATTACACGCTAAGGATTAAGTGGAACCTTGGTGGTGTAGTGGTTAAGAGCTCAGCTGCTAACCAAAAGGTCAGCAGTTCAAATCCACCAGCCACTCCTTGGAAATCCTATGGGGCAGTTCTGCTCTGCACTATAAGGTCCCTATGAGTTGAACTGATTTGATGGCACTTAAGAACAACAGGAAGGATTAAGTAAAACGTGGGTGCTACCAACACCTCTTCCTGTAGCCTCTGTACTAAATGACATGAAGGCACAAGTAATTAGGAGGTCAGGTTGCTGGGGGCAGTGATGAGAGGAGCGTGTAATCTTCCCTGTGGTCTCTTGTGGAAGCAAAGGCACAAGGCAGGGTTTGCAGACCTTGGGTCTCTTTTTTCTCCTCTTCCTTGCTCACTTGGGCTTCCACGCTCTTCACTGAGTGGCTGGTACAGCAGGCTGGTGGGAAAAACAGAAGAGTGTGAGTAGCAAAGCTTACCAACTGGGTAAGTTGATGGAGCTTTCCAAGAGGGAGGAGGTATGGGTGGGCACAGGGGCTTTGGAGAGAAGGGGCAGTCACCTTGGGCAGAAGGCTTTGTCTTCATGATGTAGAACATGATGATGAGGACGATGGCAATAGCCATGATGAAGATGGTGGACATGGCGATGATCAGGGCTGTGGCCAGGTGTCCTTGGCCTGAGAGGTCTGCTGCAGTCAGGAGAGAGAAGGCAATGACCTAGGGCTCAATAGCCTCTGCAGGCAATGAGTATCCTGCAATAGGGCAACACCCTCTCTCCTTGAAGACCACGGTCCTTGCAGGCAATGGCCCTGCCACCAGAATGCTTCTAAGGGATGCTTGGAATCGGAAATGCTGACTTAGTCTGAGAACTGAGCCCTAACTTTTCTGCAAAATTAAAAAATTGAAAGCTCTTAATTAAACTAGTTTGCTTTCGAATTTCCCTTTGGCCACCAGGTCAGTTGTACCCATGAGCCTCCCCTTGCTTGTCTCCAGTGTGGCTTATACAGACTTGGCTGGGAAATCTGTGATTCAGGTTCACTCGGGAACCTGGGGCAAGGGTGTATAAAGAGGGAAAGAGACCCACAGAAACTTGTGTCCTGAAGGCAGTTCAAACTAAGTTTGGGCATTTCCAAGTGACAGGCAATTCTTAAGACTAGAGATTTTTATTTTTTGTTTGGGTCTAATTGTGTTTCATTCAATGTCAACATAAGAATAATAAGAATCCCAAGGCAAAGATAGTCTAAAAGCTGATGCACCTATTCCTCGTGTTTTGTCCTGTTAAGCTTGTCACCCCCATCACGGCAGTCCCTTACCCCGTAGGGGAGTGTGCTTATTTCCCTGATTCACATCTGCCTTTGATATGTAAAATGCACTGAAGCTTGTTCCAATTCAGCCAACTAGCCAATCAAGATTCTGAGTCTCCTGAAGCAGGATCCAGGTTTCCCATTACCCAGACAGGAAAGCGAAGTGTGAAAGTACTTAAAGAGTCTCTGGAACCATCTGCTGGAGGCTACAGCCCAGTTCTGAAAGGAAGGGCCAGAGCTTATAGCCAAAGCTGGCACTGTTTCTCGGCAGCTGCCCGCCCTCCCGCCTCAGGACGGCATTTGGGGAGTATCCATAAGGTAGTGTGGATGCCAGGTATGGCGAGATAAATGCTTTAATATTCTGTGTTGTATGTTACTTCCCCCAAGGCCTGGTGGAAATGAGATTCATATAGCCTAGCAAAGTTTTCCTGCCTTAATGTTCCGTGGAGAATTCAAGGCAGGGTCAGGTTTTGAGGACCTTGAGGAGGTTGGCCTGCTAAGTACCCCGTAGACTTTCCAAGGCACTCAGAGCCTCTCTGGAACACGGGTCTTAAACGTGTTTAGATACTGGCATGCCATTCGAACAGTCTGAGAGGGAAAGGAGTATCTGGCTCAAGGTCTTGCTGTGAGGGAAATATTAGACTTTGCGGGTATTTGAGGAACTGTTCTCCTCAATCATTTCCGCCCCTAAAGGATTAGGGAGAATGAAATGCAGTTATTGAAAATGAATATTAAAGTGTTAAGGTCAGCAGATTTCTATGACAGCCAGCAGTGAAATTGCCATTGACGTCCTGCCAAAAGCAAAGCCCGGGGAGCGTCTCTCCCCCTCGGTGGGGATTTTTCTGCCCCTGTTGGCTGCCAAGTCCCTCCCTTCCTTCCTGCCCTGTCTGAGCACCACTCACATGTTCCTGCCTCGCTGGGAGGGTGCTTTTATCTGAACGCGTTCTAATGGACTGAGGACACCCATGGAGTGATCAATTCCACTCCTGGCTGAGATGATTACTAACTTCCAGCAACTGGGGCAGCTTAGGTAATTAAATCACATTAGAGAAATGATCTGAGGTGGGGAAGAGCGTCATAATTATTACTAATAATTATTTCCTCTCTTCCTCTTCACGTTTATCCAGCCACCCCTCTTCTCCTGGTGGTTAACTGCAGAAGATCAATACCTGAGCATCTTCCTTACCTTTGTAGGCATGCTGGGAAGGGGAGAGGGTGCTGCTGCCAGAGGTGCTGGGCAAGTTGGCAGAAGATCCTGACGTGGCTCCCACACCTGCAAAAAGAATAAATTTATCCTCCGTTCCTCAAGGTGAGCTGGAGGAGCTCCAGCTTTAAAGACTGGAAAATAAGGTGTGCCAATAGAGTTAACTGATCTAGAATTCCAGATTATGAATGTGCTAGAGAGAATTGGTGTGGCGAGGGAAAATGTGTGTATTTCCTAGAGTGTTTAATAATCCCTAGAGTATTCTGGGAGCTCTGGTGGCACAATGATTAAGAGCTCAGCTACTAACCAAAAGGTTGGCAGTTCGAATCCACCAGCCGCTCGTTGGAAACCTTATGGGGCAGTTCTGCTCCGTCCTATAGGATCGCTATGAGTTGGGATCGACTCGACGGTCACGGGTTTGGTATTTTTTTTGAGTATTCTGACCTTTCAAGGGTTATTGCTCTTTAAGTAAAAGGACACAGATAATAACTCTACTAAGAGCGACCAACAGTTTGCAAGCCTCCTCAACGCAATTTTCCTATGAACTGAGAAGAAGTACATGTAATCTATAAAAAGGAGCCCTGGTGGTGCAGTGGTTAAAGCGCTGGGCTGCTAACCAAAAGATCGGTATTTCAACCCACCAGCCATTCCGCGGCAAGAAAGGTGTGGCAGTCTGCCTCTGTGAAGACTTACAGCCTTGGAAACTCCATGGGGCAGTTCTGTTCTCTCCTACAGGGTCACTATGAGTTGGAACTGACTCGATGGCAGTGGGTTTCTGTTTTAATTTATACAAATGAGAGTACAAACAAACCCAACCTGTTGCCGTCGAGTCGATTCCAACTCATAGCGACCCTGTAGGACAGAGTAGAACTGCCCCATGGAGTTTCTAAGGAGCAGCTGGTGGATTCCAACTGCTGAGCTTTTGGTTAACAGCGGAGCTCTTAACCACTGTGCCATCAGGGCTCCAAAAATGAGAATAGTATTTGTATATAGAAGTATTCTTAAGAGGAAGTAATAATTGACTAATTATTTCAACTACATAGAGCAGGGTAGTATTTTACATTTTCTTGTTGCAATTATAAAAGTAATATACACTCACTATTAAAAATTTGGAAAAAAAATCAGAATATGAGAAAGAAGTACCGCAATTAACCATAGCCTCACTGCCTCAAGTGGACAGTTTGCTGTATTTTCTTCTAGGCTTTTTCCTGATCTCTTTTAAAAACAATTGCGACCAAATTGTTTAAGAGCCAAGATGACGTTTGTCTTTCCTCAAAACTATGATTCGTAAAACTCCTCGTCTATGTAAACAGTAGCACTTAGCAGGGATAAAATGGAAGCCGATTTTGCCATCAGGCAAATTGCTAAAGAACTCTTCTCCTAAAACAAACGAATAAAAATATTCTGTCAAAGAAAAGACCGAAGTCCCTGGGCGATGCAAATGGTTAATACGCTCAGCGGCTGACTGGAAGGTTGGCGGTTCTAGTCCACCCAGAGGTGCCTCAGAAGGAAGCACTGCAATTGCTTAGTAACTCTTCCTCCAAAAGTTGGGGGGCATAAGGGGCACTGAAGCAATAGACAATCTACTTCTGAAAAACCAGCCCCTGAGAACCCTCTGGAGCAGTTGTACTCTGACACACGGGGTCGCCACGAATCGGCATCGACTCAGTGACAAATGCTTACAGAAAGGGCAACATCCTGACAGCTAACCCTCTTTTAAGCAGGCCTTTAATAAATGCCATTAATAAATGAGTTTCCTTCTCTCTCCCTTTGGTCTCTACCAGTCGGGGAGTAATTTGCGAAGTGGGTTTGCATTGTGCAAAAGCAGCTTGTGAGTCAAGGACAAGAGAACCGCCCTCCCTAACGTCAATCCCTATCGGTCTTCCCAAGCCCAGCCCAGTGTAGCTGCCTGGAAGCTTGTAACCTAATTAGCTCACGGCCGTCTGCAGTGCTTCCTTGAGCAACAAGCTTCCATAACAGGGACATTTTCTTTAAAAGAACATTCTGCAGAGAAACACAAACGCCTGTTCTGTATTTCCAAAGCCGTCTACACACCTAGTTTGGGGCAATCTAGAGGTAGCTTTTAGGCCTTCTGGAGTGGGCAGGGACCTTGGGTCCCTGGGAGAGGAAGCACCTGAGGGATTATTCATCCATTTTTGTCCAGGAAGTAGAGAAGGGTCACAGGAGAGCAGGGTCAGAAACTTTGGAATCCTTACAGCTTTTAAAACGAACAGAAAACTACTCATAAAAGACGAGCCCCAGTGGTGCAACGGTTAAGCTCTCAACTGCTAACTGAAAGCTTGGAGGTTTGAACTCACCCAGTGGCTGTACGGGAGAAAGACCTGGCGATCTGCTCCTGTAAAGATTACTGCCTAGAAAACCTTATGAGGCAGTTCTGCTTTATCAATGAGGTCACTATGAGTCAGAATAAACTCGAGGGCACCCCGACATCAACAACAAAGCTCATAAAAGAGGGTGAGGGCCTCGTGAGGGAGCAGGGACCGCCTGAGAACTGGCTTGGGTATAATTCTGCACTTCTGTCTAAAGCCTCTCAGAGGCTGCCGGCCTGTCGCTCAAGTTGAACAGGAAATTGAACGGCTGGCTGGTGCATGAGAAATGTCGTCTGCCTGCTGAGGGACAAGCGATGGGTGCTCTTTAACAAACCCTAACGTTCTGACACACGGAGCTGTGTGAAGGAGCGTCTGCTGAGGCAGTGATGACATATGAGCACCTCACTCAAGCTCGCTGCTGTGAAAATAGCTGGAGAGGGACTCGGCCTCCAAGGGCCCAGTGAGGCTTGTTAGCAAGGTGAAGGGTGTGTGCTACTGACGCTGTTGTTGTGCCCTTGAGATTCAGACTCAGAGGAGTTTTTCGTATAGTTGTGACACATTCCACTTAGTAGTTCAGACCTCTTAGAATTGGAGGCACCTGGCCTCTCTGTGGATTTGCCTGGTCTCGCAGAACGTCCCCGACCTCATCTGGAGCCCAAAGACGTATCATGAACTCCTGGCCCTTGCCCTTTTACCTAGTCTCCGCCATCTGAGGAGTCCTTGGGTGCTGCAAACAGTTATTGCTCTCGGCTGCTGATAGAAAGGTTGGCAGTTTGAGTCCACCCAGAGATGCCTCGGAAGAAAGGCCTGGAGAACTACCTCTGAAAAATTAGCCATTGAAAACTCTCTGGAGCTCAGTTCTATTCTCGCACACACGGGGTCACCCTGAGTCGAACTCCATGGCAACCGCTTTGGTGTTTTGGGTTCTGCCATCCGAAGTTGCCTCCCAGGTTGGAGTGTGTACTGCCTAGACAACTGCATCATCATGGCTTCCTGCTTATTTTCTTTCCTCTTTTTTCTCCATGTTTGGTCCTTGCACCTGCTTATTAACTCCTCCTCCAAATTGGGGGATGTAAGGGGCACTGAGGCAGACTGCGGCGCTGTGGGCTATGTGCTCACCAGCATGGGCTGCCCTTTGAGTAACTGACCTACTCAGAGTGTGGCTCTGCTACCTGGTACACCCAGGCCCCCTGAGCCCATGTCTCTGCGCCTCGTCCCTTCCTTCTGCAAGGCTGGCCCAGTGAAGGGGTGAAGTCTGGGACAGGGAGTGGTGAAGCGGGATGTAGGACCCGAGGGAACTGAACACTGTGATAAAGTGTTGGAAGAGGGGCGTTGCAGACAACAGCTAGAATGTGTGGTTCTCTGCTTTGTCTCTCTGGGCTTCCTACACCTGGGGTTCCAGCGGCCTTCGGATGTCTCCTTGTCTTTCAGTAGGAGAAACGGAAGCTTCATTTTGTTCCCCCACCCCTACCCCCAGGGCCAAAATTTATGATACATTTTGCTTCTTTATTTAGCTTTCTCCCCCGGCCTCAGAGCAAATGTCAGGGGACGTGCTGGTGGCAAGGAGGGTGCCCAGCTGAGAGGTGCCTGACTCTCCACAGCTGTGTGCTCACAAGGTCAGACAACAGGGCATGACCCCAAGACTGAGAAATGGAGACTCGGCCTTTGACTGCTGGAAAACCCACGCTTAATTACGTTTGAACGCCTCCAGCATGCTGAGGTGGGCTTCGGATCTCCCGCCCCGTTTCCATTACTCTGGGAAGCAGCTTATCAAACTCCATCGGGTGAAGGGAGAAAAAGTGATATCGTGAACTGGCTTCAAGCCTAACCTAATGTTCTTTTAAAGGTGAATAGGGCCTTGAAAAGAGAAGCTAATCTATCTGGTCAGGGGCTCGAGGGAGCTTAAGATACTTCATCAGGAAAAATAAAACAATAAAACAACCGCGGGCTCTATTTGTGGATGTCTGTCATCTTTGTCTCTTCTTGTCCCTCTCTGCTGGGGCTTGCAGACTGAGCCTGGGTGACAGGGGTTGGGGATGGGGACAAAAGTAACCCAGGCCTGTGGTCTCGAGGGGGACTATTAAAACAGCCTCCAGAGCAGACTTATGAAATGTCCTCGCATTCACTGGCAAAGGCTAATTGCACAATGATGTTGCCAAGCAATCTATGCAGGCTACTACAGGTCGACAGTGGCACCTCTTACTGGACCCAGCAGGCTCCAAGGGTGTGCAGCCCTGCCCGCCCCCCAGGTGGGTGACAAGCTGGGGCTTGCCTCTGCCCCAATTCACGAGAATTTTTTGTCTCAGAACTCAGCTCCAGCTAGCGTCAACTGAACAGCCCCGGCCTGTGCCCTGGGCTGCAGGTGCTGGGTCAGACGATCCCCAGTTGTTCGCTGATGCCCGAGCTGAACAGAGAAACGTTCTGTTCTGAGCGGATCTGAGTGAGAGGGGCGGGTGGGAGGGGCCGACGGGCAGGGATGTCTCAGCATTTCTTCAAAGCGCAGCCTCTGAATGTCAGGACTTGAGTGAGACACCTGCGTCTGCTTCTGTTGTCGCGGCTCCACCCACTCAGCCAGCCCCCCACGCGCACCTTGAAGGCCCTGATTGTTCTCATCCCCATCCTCACCAGGTGGTGGCCCCAGAGGACCCTAGAGAAACCCCACAGGGAGGGAGATGAGACGCTTCCCAAGACGACCCAGCAGCAGGATCAGAGTCATCTACCGTTCAGATACCTCCAAAG